TACCAACCTTCATAAAAATTTCAAAGTCCCCCCCCCCCAGCTTCCCCAAAAAAGGAGTTGCCCGAATTCTGTTTGTCCGAAGGCCTTGTTCACGAATAGACACTTGCAAGAATTTGTCAATTGCCCAAATGCCACTTGCAAGAAGGCCGGTTTCTTGTTATTAAAACGTGTTTATGCTTTTTTTCAGTACTTAAAATGTTTAATACAATAGAGTTCCATGACTAAATGATAAAAACTATTACGCACCAAATGAACCTGATAATGCGCGTATAATAGTGCGGAATTGTAGTAACCTACACATTTAAGAAAATTTAATTAATTCATAAACAATTAATTAGTCATCCAATTAAGTCAAATTTTATGGCCGATTGCACTTTCATCGAGCCTTGACGAATTTCAGAGACATTGGTCAGTTAGAAGTGCTCGCAATTTCGCTCATCCGTTTCGGTCTAGATAGACAGACCCGAGAAATCAAGTTAAATAAAAGCCTGAAACAAAAGTAAGATTATGACAAGCAGCTAGTGTATAAAGTAATCTCAAAGTTACTTTTACAAAGTCCATGTAAAAACGATTTAAAGAGCCCAACTCTTCTCGAATCTCTTAATTAAAATACACCAGCTTGCAAAATCTAATCACTTAAGTTGTAAAATTGAACATGTGCTACTAATTTATCCAGAATTCAATAAGGCGATTTCTTGCAGCTTGAAGCACAAGGCTTTCAATTATCACTAACAACATTAAATCAAGATTATAATATGTTCAGGTATTAGAGTGACTATTAGTCTAATCAATTTGGGTTGAATAAATTCGATCAATGTGAGCATTATTCTCGCGGTTCAGCAGAAAATAGGGCTGTAATTTATCCATATCCACCAAGATATAGGTCACATCCACCAATTTATTCGCCATCTCCACCAAGATATTGGTAATCTCTACTAAGATATTGACCATATCCACCAAGATATTGGCCATCTCTACCATGATATTGGCCATCTCCACCAAGATATTGGCCATCTCCACTGAGATATTGGCCATCTCAACCAAGATATTGGCCATCTCCACACCAAAATATTGGCCATCTCAACCAAGATATTGGCCATCTCAACCAAAATATTGGCCATCTCAACCAAGATATTGGCCATCTCAACCAAGATATTGGCCATCCCCACCAAAATATTGGCCATCTCAACCAAGATATTGGCCATCTCAACCAAGATATTGGCCATCTCAACCAAGACATTGGCCATCTCAACCAAGATATTGGCCATCCCCACCAAAATATTGGCCATCTCAACCAAGATATTGGCCATCTCAACCAAGATATTGGCCATCTCCACCAAGATATTGACCATCGCTATTAAGAAATATGCCTATTCTAACAAGGAAATGGTCATCTCCACCAAGTTATTGGCCATCTCCACCAAGACTCTAGTCTTACTCCACCGATATACTGACAATCACCACCAAGAAAATGACAATCTTTACAATGATTTTGAACTCCTGTGCGAAAGAATTGGCAATTTACAAGCCGTTTTTACCATCTATTAAATTATTTTTTAACACAATGCATCAATACATTTAGCCGGTTTAGATTATGTATTTATATCTGTGTGCGTGATTGTGTGGGTCTTCGCGTTGTTAGTATTTTTATGGGTGTGTGTCATGTAATGCGTCTATGTTATGTTTGTTAGTATGTATGTTTATTTATGTGCGTACGTTTTCGTATTAGTGTGTATTTTATGCTTAAGTATCTGCTCTTTTAATTGTGTGTATGCTTGTTTATCTGCTGTCAAACTATATGTGAGCTTGTATGTGTGTTTTATTGTGTTTGTGTACGTATTTGTGTTTCTAACATTGAATAAAAAGCTCCTTTCCTTGTTCGATCGATACGATATTAACACAACGTGGTTAAAATTTGATCATTAATGTTTTTAGACGTCTACGAACGAAAACTCTCCAGCAAGATAAATGTTCTGCGAACTTCTTTTTTTACAAAATTCCTATAGATTTATCTAATTAATTTTTGTAAACCTCTATAACGGATTAGGGGCAGAACGGTGTTGGGTCTATGAAGCTCATGGTTGCTTAACAAAAAGTCCCAATAGCTGATGTTTTGCAGATTGTTCTTAGATGGACAAAAGCTATGGAAGCACTTCCAGAAAGAAAAGCAGGCTGACATCGGAGTCACAGGCCTACATGGCACTTAACAATTAACACACGAAATACTGAATCGTTGTTTATGAAATATCTTCGAACATCTATCTATAAACTACTAAAACTTAAGTTTGTTTACATGTTTGAATATCTATTTGTTTGTTTGTTTGTTTGTTTGTCTGATCGAGTATTGTGAATAGATCTACTCTATCTGGAGAGCTGTAAAATAGTATGTAGGTAGAGAATATTTTTTTTATTGCAAACAGACTGTAAATCAAACATTTATTTAAAGAAGTTAATTAATTTATTGATTTATTCATAGGTAGATTAACCACATTTGTTTTAAAGTTTTAGAACAATGGCTTAACTTTGGCTGAATAGTGATGTTTGATAACTCTTTTTTTGTTTGTATGTTTTTCTGATTTGTTATTGGGGAGAATCTTCATTATGTGTAGAGCTGTAAAATAGTATTTTGGGTGGTAAATATTGTTTCTTCTTAAAAACACTGTTAATTACAAACTAATTTAAAGCCGTTAATTAATGTATTGATATATTCATGGGTAAATTAACAACATTATTATAAAAGTTTAAAACAATGACTTTAGTAATAGTAAAAAGAATTATTTTACTTTGTACAACAATGTTTTCAATTATTTTTCCCAAGGCCTACATGTGAATGATAAGGTTGACTTTCAGGACCTCGCGGGGCACAGGGCAGGTGAAGTAGAGTTCACCTGTTTGTTTGTCCTTAGCATATGAAGGGATAGTGTGGTCAGAGACATGCTCGTCTGGAATCGTTTTCTTAAACGATAAAAACATGTTGTCTGAGACTTGGCGGGACACTGGGCAGGTGAAGTAGGGTTGAGTAAGTCAGCTGTGACGTCAGTATATGAAGGGATAGTCCGAAATCGTTGTTTTCGGTGTTTTTTAAAGATAAAAAACATATGTTTGAATGTGGTGTCTGTTTTTTGTGACGATAACTGACACTGCAGTAGCGTAGCGAGGGGGGTGGGGGCGGGGCGCCGTCCTTAGGGGGCGCCAAAATGGGTTGGAAAAATAAATTGAAAGGTTGAGAGGGGTGCAAATTGAAAGTTTGAGGGAGGGGTGCAAATCGAAATCTGGAGGGGGAGGGGGGGTGGTGCACATCGAAAGTTTGAGGGGGGTGCATATCGAAATCTTGCCGGGAGGGGCGGTGGGGGTTCAAATCGAAAAGTTTGTCCCCGGGCACCGGGAAGGGTCGCTACGCCTCTGAGTGTCAGACGTGATGTTTTTTTATGGATGACCCCCGAAACCCACAGTTATCCAACAGATGACGGGTAGTCTAGTTACAATTAAAAACGAAGCACTAGAAGAAACAAACATTCATGGTTCTTCCTTAAGCCAAAGTTTATATTGTCCAGGATTTAAGGCTATCAAATGTTAAGACGATGTTTATTAATATCTTGTATGTTTGTACTACAGCTGGCACTCTTACAAACCCGGAAATGACGAGTTCAGAGCCAGGACTATAGAGCTTAGGTCTAGGTCGTCACGTGACCAAACAATCGACTACGTCCAAACCAGGTGGCCAGATACACTAACCTTATTTCAATAAGGATACATATAAAAGCAGGCTCTTAGTAATGCATTGATTCCTACACAGATATGTATATGGCTGTCTGCTAATCATCGCAGATTTATGCTACACTCGATACACATATAATTTAACTCCCTAACACATAAGCTACACATAAAGTTCTACGTCATGCTAAATAAACTATACGTCTAGTTTTATACCCTCCTACGTAGACTACAAGAGTAGTACTCAATTCACAGATCATGAGCGATTTTTTTAATCGCTCATCTTAGTGATTTCAACTAAATAAGTAAATAATCATGTTAGGTATAATTTAATGTTGTAACTGAAACAAAATACTACAAATCAAGAATAAAATTGCTTTTAATCAGATTTGCTTATCTTTCTTTACGGGATATACGCAACAGAAATTTACCAAAATCCTGATCTTCGTCAAAATGGGTTTCTTACATTGTCCATTTAGTTTATACATTTAATAAATCTAGCATTATTTTCAACAAAGGCCCGTAGGCTATCTCTTGGTTCACCATGTATTGTTAAAGATACTCATCTCATAGCCTCGGAAAATAGATGACAGACGTGGGATTTTATATATAAGGTTACTACGTATTTCAATGAAATGCACGACCATAGAATAGAATGTGAAAAGTTTTAAATTGTAAAGTGGATTTTATGAATATCAAAAATGTTTGGACGTTGGCAGCTTACACAGCTAAATAGCTGAGCAGATTGATTTATTGGCTTCATTTTCATTACATAGTATGTGTCATGAAGGACTTATTACAAATATTTATTGTATATTCGCAAAACGACAAACACACATTTTAAAGGAACATAAAACAAGGCTATTTACTTTTTTTTTAATCTAGGATCTTAACTGCTATTGACATGTTTAAAACAATTGTGAACAGGATTTAAGTTGACTTAGTTTTAATGTTTCAAAATACAAGATGCATAATTATTTTCAATACAATAATTTTAGATAACAATAACATGACCATTTTTGACGGTAGTCTATGTCCGAATCTTGAAACCTTAAACATATGAAATAAAAATTCTAATGAATTAAGACTAATTTGATTCATATATGCAACACATTTTTAAAGGTAGTAGCAGAGTTTCTTTCATGCATCTCTTCAAGGGGGTGGAAGCATTACCAATTAATTTTTCATTCCCTCCTTCTGAAGAATGTCTACACCCCCATCATGATGAATTTTAAAAAAAAATATCACGTTTATACAGGGAATTTCTTTATACTTTAACCGATGTCTATCCCCCACACCTCCACCAAATGTATCGTCCGCCCTCCCTTAAAAGCTTCAAGTGCCCCACCCTTAAAGATATATGTCTGAAAGAAACTCTGGTTGGTAGATGGTACAACTTTGACTTAACAGCCGCACTAATAATTCTTCTTTCGAAGTTTCATCTCCACGGACTGTAAAGTGTGGACTTCTTTACCTAGTGCATCCCAGTGAATGCCTTCATATCTGCTTGTCTCAACCCATACACCATTTAAATATGCGCTGTAGCATCGGTTAAACCACCAGCCTGCTTCGTAATGTGCTGCGCAATTATATCCGTCAGACCTGTCAATTGTGTAGAACTGGCTGTTATTATGTGCATTTAATGAATTGCCAGCGGTTCCAGAGTAATCAGAAATAGTAAGACGGAAGCGGTCGGCTTCATTTGCAATCCTGAAGGTGCCGTATTTAGCGTAGTAGGATCTGTTTTGATACATCATATCAATTCTCAGCTCATAATTGTGTTGCTGTAAACAGTATATGATAGTAAGGTACACCATACACATCATAAGTTGTGAGATTAATAAAAGTATTTATATAACAAAGCAAAAAAAACAATATTTAAAATTTATTTTTCACAAATTCGATTTAAAAAATGAAAAAGACGTTTAAAAAGCTTTTGGGTGTGGACATTAAGCGCCAACGTAGTGTTATAGAATCATTTTTCGGATTTATTTTACGCTTCCAGCAATAGGCTAGTCTAAAGACATACGCATAAAAATTGAATTTGTTTATTCAAAAACGTCATTTATCCAAAAAAATATCAGTATTGAGTGTAATGAAACAATAGCGATCGAAATGCACGAAAATACGGTTAACCTATTTGGGAGTATGAAACTGCTTAACACTTAATATCGATAAAATGTAATTAAAAAACAGATCCGTTTTTACCCACCGTCATTAGCAAGTAGATAAAATCCAGTCCAATCCAGAAGTCACCACTTAACGTGCCAAATCCTTCTTTGTATGTTTGCCAGTTTTCCTTAAAATTTACACCAGGGCGAATTCGACGCTGGAAGATTTTTATTTTTAGAATTTTAATAAAAAAATAAACAATACATTTTAAGTGACCTGAAAAAAAGACAATTTTATAAAAACTTGCATTCTTTAATAAAAGCATTGGTCACTAAAATATAAAGGGGTGTCTGATATATTAAAATATATCCATAACATATACCTGCATAAGAATCCAACCACCTCCGTCTGTTTTGGTATCGCATAAGAAGTTTTTCCCAAACATTGTCATAACTTCCCGATCTGCATAGCAAGGCTTCATTTTTAATTTCTCACAAACTGGCTTTAAAAAATGGACATTGGTGTTATAATCTTTAAAAAAATGTATGTTACGGAAAATAATACTTAGCATAATACTAGGGTGTCGTCTACGATTTTAATCTTAATTGTTAATTAAGATGACGTTAAAAATTTAAAATTACTTTTATTTCCCTTTAATATGATACCAATTTTATGTATCAAATTTAAGTGGTAGCCTAGAAAATTATTTGTGAAAAAACGCGTATGGTTTTTAAGCGTATACGATGATATGAGTGATAATTTCTGATATGGTGGGCAAGTTTTCAAGGAGTGTTTTTTTAACCGTCCAATCACTGCTAGATTTCTTCCCATTCAAATACACGGCAGGCAAAAAGACCGGGATTAATAAGTTGATGGCTCGATCAGGTTATTTTTTGTATATTTTGTTTTGACCCTGCATGATTTTTTTTTAAATTAATGAAATTAGTTTAGAAAGACGCAATACATAATTTTCTATATTTTAGAGTTTATCTAATATAAAAAATAAAACAATCCACGTTTTGTTTACTTTTATTATGTTCTGCTCGATATTCTCAGCGATTAGACCAAAATAATGTACAAATGTCAAGTTCATTGAGAAAACTAGTTTATCTATATAGTACTAAAACTCAACTTTGTTTACATTATTGAATATTTAATTTTTTTGTTTTTTTTTTGTTTTGTTTGTCTGTTTGGCAACAGGAGAGAATCTGCATTATGTATAGAGCTGTAAAATAGTATTTAGGTAGAGAACAGGAACAGTGTTTTATTTTTACCAAAAATGTTAATGACAAATTAATTTAAAGACGTTAATTAATATACTGATATATTTATTGGTAGATGAACCTCAGTAATTATAAAAATTCAGAACAATGACTTTATTTCTGGGTTCTCAGCGTATGAAGGTATAGTGTGGCTAGAGCCATGCTCGGCCGAATAGGTTTTTTCTAAACGATAAAAATATTTTGTCTGAGACTTGGCGGGACATTGGGCAGGTGGAGTAGAGTTGGGTAGGTGTAGAGTTTACCTGTGACGTCAGCATATGAAATGATAATGTGGTCTCACCCATGCTCAGTAGAAATCGGAGTTTTAATAAACAAAAATATGTCTGAGTTGGGGAGACAATGGGCAGGTAAAGCAGAGTTTACCTATTTTTGTGACCTCAGAATATAAATGAATAGTGTGGTCAGACCCATGCTCAGACGTAATCGGTATTTTTCATAGCGTAAGTAGATCTAAATCAAATTTGAGTTCATTTCTTTATATTGTAGAATCGGAAGATGACGCAGTTAGTTTTGTGTACTTTCCATATGTGAGCGGCTGGAGTGTGTTTATCTGTTATTATAATTATTTGTAACTAAGAAGGCGAATGTCGCTTTTTATGTTCCTTTGAGGATTGTTGTGGTTTTTAGTTAAGTAGTCCGCTATTATGGCGCTGATATGATTTTTATTTTAAAATGATTTATAGCCTGGTTATTGTGTCTTGCTTATATTTTGATGTTATTATTTATGCAAACTTTGTTTTGGAGTGTGGCTCCACTTTGCTTTATATCCTGAATGTAAGTTACTGATTATTGTATTAGGGACTATTTTCTTGTGCGTAGCATTGGTTTCTTTGTTCGTAGTATTGGTTTCTTTGTTCGTGAATGTGGTGTGTCGACATGGAGGGACATTCTGCTGGAATGTCGAGGCCTGTGTGTTGAAGAGTTTCTGTGTCACGTTTATGTGGTGTATGGTAACGTAGGGTTATTTTTATAGTGTTTTATTATGTTTTCCATATTTTTGTTTGCTTATTTTGTATACAAAGTGACTATATACTAGATCTATTTAGTCTTGACTTTGAGAAGTTTCAAGGTTCGTTTTATCCAGACCACGTGGTAGCACGATGGCCTGGGTTTACTCATGGATTATTGTAGATTTTACTTTCATTTATGAGAGCCTCTTGTTTAGGCTGACAATTGTGTCAGCTTACTGCTTTGTATATAACTTTTCTTTGTAAAGAAATTGATTTTTCTTATTTTTCCTCTTTCTAGGACGGTGGTCCGAAATTGGGTGTTTTGTTTCGTTGAGTTCTGTTTGTTTTGTATGTCTTGAGTGTTTTGTCTAGATCTAGATTCTGGTTTTTTATAATAACTTTTGGTTCCATATTTATTATTTTGTTAAATAAATTTTATTAAATTGTTAAAGTTTTTTTTTTGTTTTTAATTTAGACTAAGGTTAGGTTATTAACCAGCCTGGGTTTAGCCGGGCTTGCACTGACCGGACAGTAGTAATAGATAAGCCTAGGGAAGGGTAGATAGATTTTAAGGTATCCCCCCTAGCAGGGCTTACACATAGAGTAAATATTAGTGCCGGCATTGTTAATCGCGTTCTTATCACAACTATAAACACTTTTCTGGTTGTATAATTAAAACAGTTTTTCTACATTCAAATATGCCTTTATTTTTTTTAAATTTTCTTTTTTAAATAAAACATTTTTATACATTTAAAACATATTCCATATTATTTTCAACAAAAGTCCGTATCAAATTCTCCATATATCGCTGAAGATACTAATATGATAGCCTGTAAAATATATTGCGGACAGAGGGAGAGAGAGAGAGAGAGAGAGAGAGAGAGAGAGAGAGAGAGAGAGAGAATTTCGCACATGGCCTTTTTACAAAACTTATTTATAAATGAAGAAGCGTGATTGTGTTAACATCATAGAACGTTTAACACACGAAAAGCGTATCATCCAATGTAGAACACTGACTAAGCTCATTTTTCTACATTTTTATTATGGCAAGAATTAAAATATACTTTTAAATAATGCTAATATATATATATACATATATAAATATATATATATATATATATATATATATATATATATATATATATATATATATATATATATATATATATATATATATATATATATATATATATGTGTGTGTGTGTGCGTGCGTGCGTGTGTGTGTGTGTGTGTGTGTGTAGAAATACGGAATGTGTTGAAGTATTTAGAATAAGTATGCCGTCTTGTAGATCTCAATAGAATTAATTTTTTTACTATATTTTGAACGGGTATTACTATTTTTAAAAAAAATTGCAATCGCTTTTGGTATCTTTGATTAGGCTTTAAACTTTAAAATTGTTAATACTCTTACAATTATATATTCTATATCTTTATGTATTATGATATACAATAAATATAGTGCTGATTCTAATAAAAAAAAAGCTACTATGAACAGAAACTGTATTTATTTTAATAACTTATTTCGATAAAAGGCCAAGAAACAAAATACAAAAAAAACTTACCGGAGGCCCAGTCAGACACATTCGTATTGGACAACGTGGTGCATCGTAAACCCCTAGTTTTGGGGTTAAAAAATAACAATACTATTTTAAAAAATGTGGAGAATAATGTTTATTTCTTAAAAAAAATTCATAAAAACGTTTTAATAACAAGCTTTTATGTAATGATGCACTAAAAAGTAGAAAATAAATTATACACTACTATTTAAATTACTATAAAGAAAAGCGTGGGTCACTTTAGTACATTAATACCTATTGGATACCTTTACTAATATTTGAGAAGAGACCCACGCTTTTCTTTATAGTAATTTAAATAGTAGTGTATAATTTATTTTCTATGTTTTAATGCATCATTACATAAAAGGTTGTTATTAAAACGTTTTTTATGAATTTTTTTTTCAGTATTTTACATGTTTTATTTACAATAGAGTTACATGACTAAAAACCATTGCGCGCCTACTGAACATCACGTTCTGATCATCACGTTCAGTAGGCGCGCAATGGTTTTTGAACGCAGCCATTGAACGTGATGGCGCAGCTATTGAATAAAGGTGATGACGCGTGTGGTGTGGTTGGCTAGACATGCCTACTAATTCGGTCCAAATTTTTATTAATTCATAAAAAATTAATTAGGCATCCAATTAAGTCAAATTTAGTTTCAGATTGTATTGTCCTGATGTCTTGACCCATCGGCCAAGTGTGAATCGTATCGGTCAAGTAGAAGTTTCCGAATTTTCACTCCTGCGTTTCGGTCTTGACAGACTTACGACTGACGACTGACGAGGAAGTGAGTTAAATAAAAGCTTGTAAAAAAGCCATTACTTCGTACACTTCCCCTCTATGCGCCAGCCTCTCTTTGCTTAGCACCAAGGGTTTTTCTTACACTAATTAGGTACCTATGTTTACCTCGATTGTTGAATTATACTTCATGTTATTATGTTATATATATATATAATTCTCTTCGTAGAGACATTAGAAAACACCACGATGCTTAGCCATCACCCTCATCCCCACATGTCATTTGAGCTGTGGTTCACCCCGAATGTTTACAATTGAAGAGCAGTGTTAGTGACGGCTATTAGGGACAGATAAATTGAAAACGATTTGAAACGAAGAGAAGGTAACAATTTATGATTGATCTTTTCTTTGTCTGTAAATGTAAATGGCACCATTCACTGTACGGGAAGGGGGAGGGCGGGAGGTGGTCGTGTTGAATTAAAAAATTATGAATTGCTGAAAATAAAACAACTAGATGGTGGCGCATACTACGTCGCGGGTCAGCTCGTATATATATATATATATATATATATATATATATATATATATATATATATATATATATATATATATATATATATATATATATACATATATATATATATATATATATATATATACATATATATATATATATATATAAATATATATATATATATATATGTAAAAGAAACAATGACTCACCGTTCCAGTGCTCAGCGCCAGTGTATAGAGATTGTAGTGTGATGACAAGTGCAACAACTAGCAGACCTGTAAAAAACATGTTGTGTTCAGTCAGCTCGTTTGGAGATGGTGTGTTTGCCACAGTCTCCTATAACTTGTGTTAGCCACGTTGTCAGATTGACAGAATGAGATCACCAGACGACAGATGCTTTAATGATTAAATATATTTTGTTAGAGTTGATTAATCTTTAATTTAGAAAACTGTATTTTAAGACATGGTTTTAAGACATGGTATGTTATCACAGACAGGTAAATTTTGCTCGTGTGACCACATATGCATGATGTTGACATGTATAAGCTGTATTTAAAAGTATATTTTAATTCTTGTAATAATCGATTTAATAAAATAATATTTATCCATATCTATAAAAGTGAAGTTGGGGGATGTTTGTTTATTGTTAACACAAATAGATAGGGTACTGGAGGTAAATTCCAGGGAAATTATTCTTGAGAAATGTTGCTGTTCACTCTCATTTTGACAGAATAATTAGAGTCATTTCAATAATGAACTTTAAAGTGACCGGAAATTGACCTTGCTGAACCGCGGCCTTTGATAAGTATACATTTTTTAATGTTCTTGAATTAGGTTGATCATTTTCAGATGAAAAAAAATTGCCGTTTTGTAAGGTGCCAGCTAGAGCACCGTTATTAGCTGGAAAAAATCTAATTAAAGTGTAAAATATGGAAACCTTTTATCTATCAATTTTATTTATTAAAACGTACGTTACTGCATCAGAAATTTTAAACTTCTAATTTCTCAAGTTCTTTGTCTACATATAAAAATAAACAAAGAAAACATTTGGATCAAATAAAAAAAAGATTAAAAATAATTTCATCAACCTAGCTGTAGCAGTAGTCAAGCTATAGTGTTCACAGACACACACACACACACACATCCACACATATATACACAAATACGCACACGCACTGAGACATACGGACAAAATTACAAAACTATGACTCTCCGATTCAGGAGTAGTAAAACGTCGAGATTTGTTAAAATCTCGACTTTTTAATTTCTCGTATACGAAGTAGGCCAATAGAGAAAAAATTGTAATAGTGAAAACAAAAAATCTCGACGTTTTAGACCTCCCTGAGTCGGAAAAACATAGTTTGGCAATCATTGCAGGCCTAGTTTATCACTTAACTTAAACCTAGATTTAATCGAGCCATTATATTACTTTGTGGTTAAGGTTAGGTTTAATGTAATATAATGTAAAATCTAGAATCAATAGGTAGACCTTAGGTGATAATATCCAATTACGGTTTTGGTGTGGTCGTAATTGCTTAAGGCGATTACCTGTAATATTACAAGTTAATTTGGGGGGAATTATCTGGACAAAAATGACCAAGAGTATTATCATTCTTCCTATATGTTGATAGCTTGCTCAAAAACAATATTTTTGGTAACTATACTTTGTAGATTTTAATTTTACTATGGCGTGATGACATACATTTGTTAAGTGTGTCTTATAATTGGTTGTGTAAATAATGTTTTTGAAACTAGATCTCGTGTTAGAAAGCGATGACATTCGTTTTCTTTTTATTTAATTTACAACTACACTTACCCTTACTTTTATCTTTAACCATAAACATTATCGAATATTATCTTATTCTTAAGGGTCATCCATTTATGACGCCCCCCCCCCACCACACTCGTCCACAAAAGTCAATTATTTGAAAACCCCCATACCCTACACCTAGGGTAAATGCAAAGTTACTCAAAAAAATATAGAGTACGCACAATGTGTAATAAAAAGCCTATATAAGTAAGGAATCACTTTCTAACTGCTCTGTGCATGGTTAAAAAAACGAGTAGTGATAATGAGTGCGGCAGTCAGTAGATCTCTTAATGTCTCCAGCATGTCCTTGAGGTAAAGCCTTGTAGGACATTTTGATCTCAGGCCACAGCACATGAATACATATAAAGGTTATATGGAAACAGCTGGTTAAATAAGGTCAGAGTAGATTGGTGTTTAATTTAGCAAGATCTTTTTCCAGAAGATGATGTAAAATTAAACCTAGGTCGATGGGTTAAAGATAAACATGTGTTAGAAGGTATTTCCTCTAACACGATTAAGTATACGTGTCAACGGAATATGTGTCATTGAGGCCATTGACTCCGATTTCAGCCCTCTATTGTTTTTGGATTTGCTTCCATAGCCTTTGTCCAACCAAGAACAAACTACAAGGCAGCAGTTGGTTGATTTTGGAGCTGTTTCTTTTTGAAGAGTGGCTGTTCCCAGATAACGATCACCATCTGCTCGAGGGTTCGAACTCGAGACTTTTCGGTTTAGCAACCATGACTTTTACCGACTCGACCACGCCGTTAAAGGATTAATTGAATGTTAAAACGTTGAGAGATAATTGCGTCAATGTGTAAAGAAGAAGTGGATTACCTTACAACATTAACGGAAACATCTTTTTACTTTATTTCGAGAAGTAGTATTTGGTAAAACTAAACCCAATCAATTCGAACAAAAGATAATCTTTAGACCATCTGTTTTGTAATTGTCTATCTGGATATGGGCTCATGCGTCATCAGGTCACTGTAAAATATCAGGTCTAAATGACATCGGCATGTCTTTTCTTTCCGTTGTGTACCTACATCTAGTTTGACGCGGGGGACATATGAGAGTATTAGCAGCTTATATATATATATATATATATATATATATATATATATATATATATATATATATATATGTATGTATATATATATATATATATATATATATATATATATATATATATATATATATATAAATATATAGGCTATATATATAGGCTATATATATATATATATATATATATATATATATATATATATATATATATATATATATATATATATATATATATATATATATTGAATATAGTAAATGTGTGAACCTGTTCAATTTTCGACTCATCCTTGTAACAACCTGTACTGAATTTCCCTAAACAATGTTTATGTTTCATAAAGCAAAGTTCTCTATATCAATTATGGCAATAATTAAAATCTATTCTGTAATGAAATATATACATGTCCACATTATATTTTTTTTGTTTGCACGCTGGCCACATTACCTTTATTCTTTGACCTACAATTATATTGACACCATCTCTAGAAATACAATTTTTTGAATTAAAACTTAATCAATTTAAACAAAAGATATTCAATTTTTTGAAGCATCTTTCTCAGTGTTTAATATTACCATCGGTCAACGTTGCTTACACAAGTTATAAAAGCCTGTGGTAAACACAGCTTTTTGAAACGAGCTGACTGAACACAATATATTTTTTACAGGTCTGCTAGCTGTTGCACTTGTCATCACAGTACAGTCTCTATACACTGGCGCTGAGCACTGGAACGGTGAGTCATTGTTTCTGTAACAAATATAAATCATCTGTACAATTATGTTTGCTTATATATGGGTACATTTTTATTATCTGATTACATGGAGTATAATTCAACAGTCCATGTCAGCAAATGAGATTTTTTAGTGTTAAGAGAAACTTGGCAATAATAAAAAAGCGCACCATGCATAAAACAAAAACAAAATCATAATATTAACACTATTGAGATCAAAACGACGGTATAATTATTGTAAATACTTCAAGGCATGGCACGTTTCTATTTGTATATATATATATATATATATATATATATATATATATATATATATATATATATATATATATAGCGTACCAGTCCCCCGCGCTTAGCCGCGGGGATAGAAGAAAGTTTGACGAAATATATTAGAAGGATTTCACCAACGCGTTACCAATCATATGTTCTTAGACGCGTGACCTTCTTTTCTAAAAATCAGTTATTTAAATGTAAACAAGGCCTGCGCTTGGATCATAAATATCAGGACACGTGTTTACCTACACTACCGCATGAAAACCTTGAGTGTACATCTCTCACCGAAATAATATTGTAGAACACACTTCGGTGACACTTCGGTGACCGCCCATGTGTCAGAGACTTCGAGGCCCACTCTCAGGAGCCCCTCTCCCCCCTCCCCCCCGATTACACTACCGCATAAGTGCGGCGTACGACCCCTGGTTCCTTAAAACTAACAGGCGCCATTGTGCCAAATAGCATCCTGTTAACCATGATGCACATTGCGTCATTCACTAAAGTGACAAAAATGAACAGGATTTATTATTTAACACTTAAAAAAATAATTTGACGTGTTTAAATATCAGTATGTCTGATGCAATATGTTAGAGTTAGTAATGCTCTATTATTAGATGCTCGATCTCAATTTCTAATTGTATTATCTAAAAATAGATGCTAATTCGCAAAGTGTGTTGACAGGGAGCCGGGCATTTTCCCGTAAGCCACTTGCCAGAATGCCAGTCATTTGTCTCATTTGGGCAAGTGTCCATTCGGGCATTTGTTGCATTCGGGTACGTGTTCATTTAGGACACAGGCGATGAACCACAGTGCAAAATATTTAAATTACAAAGACCTAACAATGGAGATAACGAGGTCGCCTTATACAAATATTTGAAAAATTAAAAACAATTTAAGCAGAAAGTGCGCGATGACCATCATTTTGGTAAAATCAGGTATGGCGAAAATGAAACGAATCGATGATCGTGTTTAGATTTCTATACCGAACAATCAATAATGACAACAATACGTACGTACGCCATGAGATTAGCTTTTTATGAATATAGATACAATGCCCATAAATGCACCACACACATGTGTCCTTTGCTTTTTTATTTCATTGAGTGTATTACAACATATACATATGTGTTTTGCGTACGTGTAAGTACGGCAGTGTTTGCTAGTATGTCCTGGTTATTTATAAGTTAGTAAAGTTACCTTTCAAACCTGACGGTTTACGGGGCAGGTGAAGTAGAGTTAACGTGTTTCTGTGACCTCGGCATATGAAGGGATAGTGTGGTCATTTATTAGTCTTTAATATCCTAATGTGCAGATGAAGTAGTGTTCATGTTTCTTGATCTCGGCATTTGAAGGTATGTGTTTGACTCAATGGCAAGCCGCCTTTAATTTCCATAACGTGAGTTAGGTATCCATCAGTTGGGTGGACTCTGGGGCGGTCTACTGACTTAAACCCGGATTCGAAATCGAGATTTACGGGTTAGCAGTCCAGTTCTCTAAAGCTAGGCCACTCTGTCCCATGCATGTTCATATCATATCGTATATCACCTGAACAAGTAACAGATGTTCTGCTTAATCTCATTGACCCATCCACAAGCATTCATTTTTACTTTTTCGTGTACAGCGTACAGGTGAACTATTGTGAGCGTGCAAAACATTGCTATCGTGATTTTGATAAATCTCGACGTTTTACACCTCACTGAATCTGAAAAACACAGTTTTACAATGGTTTCTGTCAGCATGTTTGTCTGAGACCGCGGTAACTTCGTTTATTTTTTAATTAACGAAATCGTATATAAAAGTATTACATCAAAATTATAGGTTTCCTTTCATTTGTCAACCACAAATGACGTCAAGCTTTTTAAACACTTTTTACCTCCCCCTTCCTCCCCACTGCCACACATCGTCACAAAAAGCCTTCCCGCTCCAAAAATGACTTCACACCTCAGCCTACAAATCCCCTTAAATAGTCAGTTGAGTTTTTCTTAAAACATTGATATTTTTCCAAAAACTTGTCTAAAATCTGTCTACATCGAGTATTTTAATCAATTTCTATCACAATTTATTAAAAGTTTTCTAAAACGCGAAAATTTAGTTAGTAAAGTATTTTAACTTCGCAGTCACTTTATGGTAGTGCAAAAATTACATTACGTTGTCAGCCACATCATTCAGTTTAAAGCGATATTCATATATTTTTTTACTTTTTTTTACATTCAATCAGTTTCTTTTGCATTACAACATTTCTTCTAACTAATAATGCAAGAATAGCTTTTGAAAAAAATGTAGAAACCAAGGTAAAATCATTTCAACCTGATACTCACAGATTGTATGTAAAGTAATCTTAAAAATAATTTTACAATTTCAATGTAAAAGGACTTGAAGAGCCCAACTAATCACGAATCTCTTAACTAAAATACACCAGCTTGCAAAATCTAATCCCCTAAGTTGTAAAATTGAACATGTGCTTCGTATTGTTAACATACTAATTTATCCAGAATTCAATAAGGCGATTTCTTGCAGCTTGAAGCACAAGGCTTTCAATTATCACTAACAACATTAAATCAAGATTATAATATGTTCAGGTCTTAGATTGACTATTAGTCTAATCAATTTGAGTTGGATAACTTCGATCAATGTCAGCATTATTCTCGCGGTTCAGAACAAATGGTTCTGTAATTTATCCATATCCACCAGGATATAGGTCATATCCACCAATTTATTTACCATCTCCACCAAGATATTGGCCATCTCTACCACGATATTGACCTTCTCCACCAAGATATTGGCCATCTCTACCAAGATATTGACCATCTTTAATACAATATAGGTTTACTACCCCGAGATTGTGCGATTTTCACCAAAATATAGGAATACTCCCATTAAGAATTGGCCATCCCCACCAAGATATTGGCCATCTCAACCAAAATATTGGCCATGGCTACCAAGATATTGGCTATCTCAACCAAGATATTGGCCATGTCTACCAAGATATTCACCATCTCAACCAAGATGTGGGCCATATCTACCAAGATATTCACCATCTCAACCAAGATATTGACCATCGCCATCATGAAATATGCCTATTCCACCAAGGTAATGGCCATCTCCACCAAGGTATTGGCCATCTCCACCAAGAGTATAGCCTTACTCCACCAATATACTGACAATCACCACCAAGAAAATGACATTCTTCACAATGATTTTGAACTCCTGTACGAAGGAATTGGCAATTTACAAGCCGTTTTTACCATCTATTAAATTATTTTTTAACACAATGCATCAATACATTTAGCCGGTTTAGATTATGTGTTTATATCTGTGCGTGATTGTGTGTGTCTTTGTGTTAGTATGTTTATGTGTGTGTGTCATGTAAGCGTCTATGTTGTGTTTGTTAGTATGTATGTTTATTTATGTTCGTACGTTTTCGTATTAGTGTGTATTTTATGCTTAAGTATCTGTTCTTTTAAATGTCTGTATATCTGCTGTCAAACAGTTTGTTTGTATTGGTGTTTTCTTGAGTTTGTGTACGTATTTGTGTTTCTAAAAAAAAGCTGATGACATGAGAGACAACTCTAAATTCGAGCAACTGCATCTTTGCAGATTGTTCGTGAAGGACAAAGGCTATGGAAGCACTTCCAGAAAGAAAAGCAGGCTGATATTTGAGTCACAGGCCTAAATGGTACAAAACAATTAAAAACGCAATACTTAATCGTTGTGTATGAAATATCTTCGAACGTTAAAATTAAAAACGAAGCAGTAGAAAAAACAAAAATTAATGGATCTTCCTTAAGCCAAAGTTTATATTGTCCAGGATTCAATGCGATCAAATGTTAAGACGATGTTTATTAATATCTTGTATTTTTGTAATATTACTGCAGCTGGCACTCTTACAAATCTGGAAATGACGAGTTCAGAGCCAGGACAATAGAGTTTAGGTCTAGGTCGTCACGTGACCAAACAATCGACTGCGTCTAAACCAGACGGCCAGATACACTTATTTCAATAAGGATACATATAAAAGCAGGCTTTTAGCAATGCATTGATTCCTACACAGATCTGTATGTGGCTGTCTGCTAATAATCGCAGATTTATGCTACACTCGTTACAAGTATAATTTTACTCCCTAACACATAAGATACACATAAAGTTCTACGTCCTGCTAAATAAACTATACCTTTAGTTTTATGACTTCCTACGTAGACTACTAGAGTAGTACGCAATTCACAGATCATGAGCGATTTGTTTCATCGCTCATTTAAGTGATTTCAACTAAATAAGTAGATATTCATGTTAGGTATAATTTAATGTTGTAACTGAAACAAAATACTACAAATCAAGAATAACATTGTTTTTAATCAGATTTGCTTATCTTTCTTTACGGGATATACGCAACAAAAATTAACCAAAATCCTGATCTTCGTCAAAATGGGTTTCCTACACTACTAAATACATTGTCCATTTAGTTTATACATTTAATAAATCAAGCATTATTTTCAACAAAAGCCCGTATCTCTTGGTTCACCATGTATTGTTAAAGATACTCATCTCATAGCCTCGGAAAATAGATGACAGACGTGGGATTTTATATATATAAGGTTACTAAGTATTTCAATGAATTGCACGATCATAGAATAGAATGTGAAAAGTTTTAAATTGTAAAGTGGATTTTATGAATACCAAAAATGTGTGGACGTTGGCAGCTTACACAGCTAAATAGCTGAGCAGATTGATTTATTGGCTTAATTAATTGTCATTACATAGTATATGTCATGAGGGACTTATTTAAAATATTTATTGTATATTCGCAAATAGACAAACACACGTTTAATGAAAAATAAAACAAGGCTATTTACTTTTTTTTTATTCTTGGAACTTAACTGCTATTGACATGTTTAAAATAATTGTGAATAGGATTTAAGTTGACTTAGTTTTAATGTTTTCACTTACAAGATGCAAAATAATTATTTTCAATACAATAATTTTAGATAACAGTAACATGACAATTTTTGACGGTAGCCTAAGTCCGAATCTTGAAATCTTTTAACATATGAAATAAGAATTCTAATGAATTAAGACTAATTTGATTCATATATGCAACACATTTTTAAAGGTGGTAGCAGAGTATCTTTCACGCATCTCTTCAAGGGGGTGGAAGCATTACCAATTAATTTTTCATTCCCTCCTTCTGAAGAATGTCTACACCCCCATCATGATGAATTTTAAAAAAAAATATCACGTTTATACAGGGAATTTCTTTATACTTTAACCGATGTCTATCCCCCACACCTCCACCAAATGTATCGTCGGCCCTCCCTTAAAAGCTTCAAGTGCCCCACCCTTAAAGATATATGTCTGAAAGAAACTCTGGTTGGTAGATGGTACACCTTTGACTTAACAGCCGCACTAATAATTCTTCTTTCGAAGTTTCATCTCCACGGACTGTAAAGTGTGGACTTCTTTACCTAGTGCATCCCAGTGAATGCCTTCATATCTGCTTGTCTCAACCCATACACCATTTAAATATGCGGTGTAGCATCGGTTAAACCACCAGCCTGCTTCGTAATGTGCTGCGCAATTATATCCGTCAGACCTGTCAATTGTGTAGAACTGGCTGTTATTATGTGCATTTATGTGTTGCTGTAAAGAGTATATGATAGTAAGGTACACCATACACATCATAAGTTGTGAGATTAATAAAAGTATTTATATAACAAAGCAAAAAAAACAATATTTAAAATTTATTTTTCACAAATTCGATTTAAAAAATGAAAAAGACGTTTAAAAAGCTTTTGGGTGTGGACATTAAGCGCCAACGTAGTGTTATAGAATCATTTTTCGGATTTATTTTACGCTTCCAGCAATAGGCTAGTCTAAAGACATACGCATAAAAATTGAATTTGTTTATTCAAAAACGTCATTTATCCAAACAAATATCAGTATTGAGTGTAATGAAACAATAGCGATTGAAATGCACGAAAATACGGTTAACCTATTTGGGAGTATGAAACTGCTTAACACTTAATATCGATAAAATGTAATTAAGAAACAGATCCGTTTTTACCCACCGTCATTAGCAAGTAGATAAAATCCAGTCCAATCCAGAAGTCACCACTTAACGTGCCAAATCCTTCTTTGTATGTTTGCCAGTTTTCCTTAAAATTTACACCAGGGCGAATTCGACGCTGGAAGATTTTTATTTTTAGAATTTTAATAAAAAAATAAACAATACATTTTAAGTGACCTGAAAAAAAGACAATTTTATAAAAACTTGCATTCTTTAATAAAAGCATTGGTCACTAAAATATAAAGGGGTGTCTGATATATTAAAATATATCCATAACATATACCTGCATAAGAATCCAACCACCTCCGTCTGTTTTGGTATCGCATAAGAAGTTTTTCCCAAACATTGTCATAACTTCCCGATCTGCATAGCAAGGCTTCATTTTTAATTTCTCACAAACTGGCTTTAAAAAATGGACATTGGTGTTATAATCTTTAAAAAAATGTATGTTACGGAAAATAATACTTAGCATAATACTAGGGTGTCGTCTACGATTTTAATCTTAATTGTTAATTAAGATGACGTTAAAAATTTAAAATTACTTTTATTTCCCTTTAATATGATACCAATTTTATGTATCAAATTTAAGTGATAGCCTAGAAAATTATTTGTGAAAAAACGCGTATGGTTTTTAAGCGTATACGATGATATGAGTGATAATTTCTGATATGGTGGGCAAGTTTTCAAGGAGTGTTTTTTTAACCGTCCAATCACTGCTAGATTTCTTCCCATTCAAATACACGGCAGGCAAAAAGACCGGGATTAATAAGTTGATGGCTCGATCAGGTTATTTTTTGTATATTTTGTTTTGACCCTGCATGATTTTTTTTTAAATTAATGAAATTAGTTTAGAAAGACGCAATACATAATTTTCTATATTTTAGAGTTTATCTAATATAAAAAATAAAACAATCCACGTTTTGTTTACTTTTATTATGTTCTGCTCGATATTCTCAGCGATTAGACCTAAATAATGTACAAATGTCAAGTTCATTGAGAAAACTAGTTTATCTATATAGTACTAAAACTCAACTTTGTTTACATTATTGAATATTTAATTTTTTTTGTTTGTTTTTTTGTTTTGTTTGTCTGTTTGGCAACAGGAGAGAATCTGGATTATGTATAGAGCTGTAAAATAGTATTTAGGTAGAGAACAGGAACAGTGTTTTTTTTTTACCAAAAATGTTAATGACAAATTAATTTAAAGACGTTAATTAATATATTGATATATTTATTGGTAGATGAACCTCAGTAATTATAAAAATTCAGAACAATGACTTTATTTCTGGGTTCTCAGCGTATGAAGGTATAGTGTGGCTAGAGCCATGCTCGGCCGAATAGGTTTTTTTCTAAACGATAAAAATATTTTGTCTGAGACTTGGCGGGACATTGGGCAGGTGGAGTAGAGTTGGGTAGGTGTAGAGTTTACCTGTGACGTCAGCATATGAAAAGATAATGTGGTCTCACCCATGCTCAGTAGAAATCGGAGTTTTAATAAACAAAAATATGTCTGAGTTGGGGAGACAATGGGCAGGCAAAGCAGAGTTTACCTATTTTTGTGACCTCAGAATATAAATGAATAGTGTGGTCAGACCCATGCTCAGACGTAATCGGTATTTTTCATAGCGTAAGTAGATCTAAATCAAATTTGAGTTCATTTCTTTATATTGTAGAATCGGAAGATGACGCAGTTAGTTTTGTGTACTTTCCATAGAGTAAATATTAGTGCCGGCATTGTTAATCGCGTTCTTATCGCAACTATAAACACTTTTCTGGTTGTATAATTAAAACAGTTTTTCTACATTCAAATATGCCTTTATTTTTTTTAAATTTTCTTCTTTAAATAAAACATTTTTTATACATTTAAAACATATTCCATATTATTTTCAACAAAAGTCCGTATCAAGTTCTCCATATATCGCTGAAGATACTAATATGATAGCCTGTGAAAATATATTGCGGACAGAGGGAGAGAGAGAGAGAGAGAGAGAGAGAGAGAGAGAGAGAGAGAGAGAATTGCGCACATGGCCTTTTTACAAAACTTATTTATAAATGAAGAAGCGTGATTGTGTTAACATCAAAGAACGTTTAACACACGAAAAGCGTATCATCCAATGTAGAACACTGACTAAGTTCATTTTTCTACATTTTTATTATGGCAAGAATTAAAATATACTTTTAAATAATGCTTATATATATATATATATATATATATATATATATATATATATATATATATATATATATATAAATATATATATATATATATATATATATATATATATATATATATATATATATATATATATATATAAATATAAATATAAATATATATATATATATATATATATATATAATATATATATATATATATATATATATATATATATATATATATATATATATATATATATATATATATATATATATATATATATATATACATATATATATATACATCTATATATATATATATATATATATATATATATATATATATATATATATATATATATATATATATATATTTATATATATTTATATATATATATGTGTGTGCGTGCGTGCGTGCGTGTGTGTGTGTGTGTGTGTGTGTGTGTGTGTGTGTGTGTGTGTAGAAATACGGAATGTGTTGAAGTATTTAGAATAAGTATGCCGTCTTGTAGATCTCAATAGTGTTAATTTTTTTACTATATTTTGAACGGGTATTACTATTTTTAAAAAAAATTGCAATCGCTTTTGGTATCTTTGATTAGGCTTTAAACTTTAAAATTGTTAATACTCTTACAATTATATATTCTATATCTTTATGTATTATGATATACCATAAATATAGTGCTGATTCTAATTTAAAAAAAGCTACTATGAACAGAAACTGTATTTATTTTAATAACTTATTTTGATAAAAGGCAAAGAAACAAAATACAAAAAAAAACTTACCGGAGGCCCAGTCAGACACATTCGTATTGGACAACGTGGTGCATCGTAAACCCCTAGTTTTGGGGTTAAAAATTAACAATACTATTTTTAAAAATGTGGAGAATAATGTTTATTTCTTAAAAAAAATTCATAAAAAACGTTTTAATAACAAGCTTTTATGTAATGATGCACTAAAAAGTAGAAAATAAATTATACACTACTATTTAAATTACTATAAAGAAAAGCGTGGGTCACTTTAGTACATTAATACCTATTGGATACCTTTACTAATATTTGAGAAGAGACCCACGCTTTTCTTTATAGTAATTTAAATAGTAGTGTATAATTTATTTTCTACTTTTTAATGCATCATTACATAAAAGCTTGTTATTAAAACGTTTTTTATGAATTTTTTTTTCAGTATTTTACATGTTTTATTTACAATAGAGTTACATGACTAAAAACCATTGCGCGCCTACTGAACATCACGTTCTGATCATCACGTTCAGTAGGCGCGCAATGGTTTTTGAACGCAGCCATTGAACGTGATGGCGCAGCTATTGAATGAAGGTGATGACGCGTGTGGTGTGGTTGGCTAGACATGCCTACTAATTCGGTCCAAATTTTTATTAATTCATAAAAAATTAATTAGGCATCCAATTAAGTCAAATTTAGTTTCAGATTGTATTGTCCTGATGTCTTGACCCACCGGCCAAGTGTGAATCGTATCGGTCAAGTAGAAGTTTCCGAATTTTCACTCCTGCGTTTCGGTCTTGACAGACTTACGACTGACGACTGACGAGGAAGTGAGTTAAATAAAAGCTTGTAAAAAAGCCATTACTTCGTACACTTCCCCTCTATGCGCCAGCCTCTCTTTGCTTAGCACCAAGGGTTTTTCTTACACTAATTAGGTACCTATGTTTACCTCGATTGTTGAATTATACTTCATGTTATTATGTTATATATATATATATAATTCTCTTCGTAGAGACATTTGAAAACACCACGCAGCTTAGCCAGCACCCTCAACCCCACATGTCCGTTGAGCTGTGGTTCACCCCGAATGTTTACAATCGAAGAGCAGGGTTAGTGACCGCTATTAGGGGCAGATAAATTGAAAACGATTTGAAACGAAGAGAAGGTAACAATTTATGAATGATCTTTTCTTTGTCTGTAAATGTAAATGGCACCATTCACTGTACGGGAAGGGGGAGGGCGGGAGGTGGTAGTGTTGAATTAAAAAATTATCAATTGCTGAAAATAAAACAACTAGATGGTGGCGCATACTACGTCGCTGGTCAGCTCGTATATATATATATATATATATATATATATATATATATATATATATATATATATATATATATGTAAAAGAAACAATGACTCACCGTTCCAGTGCTCAGCGCCAGTGTATAGAGATTGTAGTGTGATGACAAGTGCAACAACTAGCAGACCTGTAAAAAACATGGTGTGTTCAGTCAGCTCGTTTGGAGATTGTGTGTTTGCCACAGTCTCCTATAACTTGTGTTAGCCACGTTGTCAGATTGACAGAATGAGATCACCAGACGACAGATGCTTTAATGATTAAATATATTTTGTTAGAGTTGATTAATCTTTAATTTAGAAAACTGTATTTTAAGACATGGTTTTAAGACATGGTATGTTATCACAGACAGGTAAATTTTGCTCGTGTGACCACATATGCATGATGTTGACATGTATAAGCTGTATTTAAAAGTATATTTTAATTCTTGTAATAATCGATTTAATAAAATAATATTTATCCATATCTATAAAAGTAAAGTTGGGGGATGTTTGTTTATTGTTAACACCTTTTAGATCGGGTACTGGAGGTAAATTCCAGGGAAATTATTCTTGACAAATTTTGCTGTTCACTCTCATTTAGACAGAATAATTAGAGTCATTTCAATAATGAACTTTAAAGTGACCGGAAATTGACCTTGCTGAACCGCGGCCTTTGATAAGTATACATTTTTTAATGTTCTTGAATTAGGTTGATCATTTTCAGATGAAAAAAAAATTGCCGTTTTGTAAGGTGCCAGCTAGAGCACCGTTATTAGCTGGAAAAAATCTAATTAAAGTGTAAAATATGGAAACCTTTTATCTATCAATTTTATTTATTAAAACGTACGCTACTGCATCAGAAATTTTAAACTTCTAATTTCTCAAGTTCTTTGTCTACATATAAAAATAAACAAAGAAAACATTTGGATCAAATAAAAAAAAAAGATTAAAAATAATTTCATCAACCTAGCTGTAGCAGTAGTCAAGCTATAGTGTTCACAGACACACACACACACACACATCCACACATATATACACAAATACGCACACGCACTGAGACATACGGACAAAATTACAAAACTATGACTCTCCGATTCAGGAGTTGTAAAACGTCGAGATTTGTTAAAATCTCGACTTTTTAATTTCTCGTATACGAAGTAGGCCAATAGAGAAAAAATTGTAATAGTGAAAACAAAAAATCGAGATTTTTGCATATCTCGACGTTTTAGACCTCCCTGAGTCGGAAAAACATAGTTTGGCAATCATTGCAGGCCTAGTTTATCACTTAACTTAAACCTAGATTTAATCGAGCCATTATATTACTTTGTGGTTAAGGTTAGGTTTAATGTAATATAATGTCAAATCTAGAATCAATAGGTAGACCATAGGTGATAATATCCAATTACGGTTTTGGTGTGGTCGTAATTGCTTAAGGCGATTACCTGTAATATTACAAGTTAATTTGGGGGGAATTATCTGGACAAAAATGACCAAGAGTATTATCATTCTTCCTATATGTTGATAGCTTGCTCAAAAACAATATTTTTGGTAACTATACTTTGTAGATTTTAATTTTACTATGGCGTGATGACATACATTTGTTAAGTGTGTCTTATAATTGGTTGTGTAAATAATGTTTTTGAAACTAGATCTCGTGTTAGAAAGCGATGACATTCGTTTTCTTTTTATTTAATTTACAACTACACTTACCCTTACTTTTATCTTTAACCATAAACATTATCGAATATTATCTTATTCTTACGGGTCATCCATTTATGACGCCCCCCCCCCCACCACACTCGTCCACAAAAGTCAATTATTTGAAAACCCCCATACCCTACACCTAGGGTAAATGCAAAGTTACTCAAAAAAATATAGAGTACGCACAATGTGTAATAAAAATCCTATATAAGTAAGGAATCACTTTCTAACTGCTCTGTGCATGGTTAAAAAAAACGAGTAGTGATAATGAGTGCGGCAGCCAGTAGATCTCTTAATGTCTCCAGCATGTCCTTGAGGTAAAGCCTTGTAGGACATTTTGATCTCTGGCCACAGCGCATGAATACATATAAAGGTTATATGGAAACAGCTGGTTAAATAAGGTCAGAGTAGATTGGTGTTTAATTTAGCAAGATCATTTTCCAGAAGATGATGTAAAATTAAACCTAGGTCGATGGGTTAAAGATAAACATGTGTTAGAAGGTATTTCCTCTAACACGATTAAGTATACGTGTCAACGGAATATGTGTCATTGAGGCCATTGACTCCGATTTCAGCCCTCTATTGTTTTTGGATTTGCTTCCATAGCCTTTGTTTAACCAAGAACAAACTACAAGGCAGCAGTTGGTTGATTTTGGAGCTGTTTCTTTTTGAAGAGTGGCTGTTCCCAGATAACGATCACCATCTGCTCGAGGGTTCGAACTCGAGACTTTTCGGTTTAGCAACCATGACTTTTACCGACTCGACCACGCCGTTAAAGGATTAATTGAATGTTAAAACGTTGAGAGATAATTGCGTCAATGTGTAAAGAAGAAGTGGATTACCTTACAACATTAACGGAAACATCTTTTTATTTTATTTCGAGAAGTAGTACTTGGTAAAACTAAACCCAATCAATTCGAACAAAAGATAATCTTTAGACCATCTGTTTTGTAATTGTCTATCTGGATAAGGGCTCATGCGTCATCAGGTCACAGTAAAATATCAGGTCTAAATGACATCGGCATGTCTTTTCTTTCCGTTGTGTACCTACATCTAGGTTGATGCGGGGGACATTTGAGAGTATTAGCAGCTATATATATATATATATATATATATATATATATATATATATATATATATATATATATATATATATATATATATATATATATATATATATAGGCTATATATATAGGCTATATATATATATATATATATATATATATATATATATATATATATATATATATATAGGCTATATATATAGGCTATATATATATATATATATATATATATTGAATATACTAAATGTGTGAACCTGTTCAATTTTCGACTCATCCTTGTAACAACCTGTACTGAATTTCACTAAGCAATGTTTATGTTTCATAAAGCAAAGTTCTCTATATCAATTATGGCAATAATTAAAATCTATTCTGTAATGAAAAGTATACATGTCCACATTATATTTTTTTTTGTTTGCACGCGGGCCACATTACCTTTATTCTTTGACCTACAATTATATTGACACCATCTCTAGAAATACAATTTTTTGAATTAAAACTTAATCAATTTAAACAAAAGATATTCAATATTTGAAGCATCTTTCTCAGTGTTTAATATTACCATCGGTCAACGTTGCTTACACAAGTTATAAAAGCCTGTGGTAAACACAGCTTTTTGAAACGAGCTGACTGAACACAACATATTTTTTACAGGTCTGCTAGCTGTTGCACTTGTCATCACACTACAATCTCTATACACTGGCGCTGAGCACTGGAACGGTGAGTCATTGTTTCTGTAACAAATATAAATCATCTGTACAATTATGTTTGCTTATATATGGGTACATTTTTATTATCTGATTACATGGAGTATAATTCAACAGTCCATGTCAGCAAATGAGATTTTTTAGTGTAAAGAGAAACTTGGCAATAACAAAAAAGCGCACCATGCATAAAACAAAAACAAAATCATAATATTAACACTATTGAGATCAAAACGACGGTATAATTATTGTAAATACTTCAAGGCATGGCACGTTTCTATTTGTATATATATATATATATGTATATATATATATATATATATATATATATATATATATATATATATATATATATAGCGCTTAGCCGCGGGGATAGAAGAAAGTTTGACGAAATATATTAGAAGGATTTCACCAACGCGTTACCAATCATATGTTCTTAGACGTGTGACCTTCTTTTCTAAAAATCAGTTATTTAAATGTAAACAATGTAAACAATGCCTGCGCTTGGATCATAAATATCAGGACACGTGTTTACCTACACTACCGCATGAAAACCTTGAGTGTACATTAATCACTCACCGAAATAATATTGTAGAACATACTTCGATGACCGCCCATGTGTCAGAGACTTCGAGGCCCACTCTCAGGAGCCCCTCCCCTCCCCCCCCCCCCCCGATTACACTTCCGCATAAGTGCGGCGTACGACCCCTGGTTCCTTAAAACTAACAGGCGCCATTGTGCCAAATAGCATCCTGTTAACCATGATGCACATTGCGTCATTCACTAAAGTGACAAAAATGAACAGGATTTGTTATTTAACACGTAAAAAATTATTTGACGTGTTTAAATATCAGTATGCCTGATGCAATATGTTAGAGTTAGTAATGCTCTATTATTAGATGCTCGATCTCAATTTCTAATTGTATTATCTAAAAATAGATGCTAATTCGCAAAGTGGCGAAACTGTTTGGATTTTATTACGGACAAAAAGAAACATCCAGGTTAATAATCTAACCTTGGTTAATTTTTCTTATTATTAAAATAAAACGTATTGCATGGCCTTAGCGGCTTCTAGATCTACGGCGACCTGAGCAATTAATTTTAAACTTTTCACGTAAGACTCGTAGACAAAGTTACATAAATGTCACTTAGAGAAACATTAATAGGTTTTTTAAGAAGGCATTGTTACTGGAATAGCAAAATAGATATATTATTATGTCAATGCTAATTGTGAGTTATAATTAACAGTTAAATAACCCGAATAACACCATACCTAGATAGTTATTGACACAATTTTGTTTTGAGAAGGACCGGTGTGTAACATGTGTATATTAAACTGTCTTTAAGTGTTTGTTACACGATGACTTATAACATGTTTTAAAAATGGATTGTGTTGTGTCTTGTCGGTTTACTTTATAATTATGGAGGTTTATTTTTAAATAATTTCACTATCTAATAAAATATATTTAACTTCAGTTTTGTGCTTGTTTTTTAGATTTTCACTGGATTTCCTTTTATATGGTGTATTATATCACACACCTAGGAAACGTTTGCAGGTAAGTGTGTCGACAGGGAGCCGGGCATTTTCCCGTAAACCACTTGCCAGAATGCCAGTCATTTGTCTCATTTGGGCAAGTGTCCATTCGGGCATTTGTTGCATTCGGGTACGTGTTCATTTAGGACACAG